ATGTTCTAATTTTTGGTATAGACACTTGGTAGAATGTCCTTTCTTCATTCAATTTTAAAATGGGAAAAAATTATTCCGCATTCTTTTGTCATGTTGCTCTGAATCTGATTTCTGAACAGTCCCTTTTAGCATGCTAAATTTTAAGAATAGAAATGTCAGCCATTTATTCTATCAAGACATGACTTCCTCTTATGTATATCTTAAGCTTTAAAAATCTCTTTATTTTGATTGCAATGTTTAGATTAATAATTGACAAAAAAAATCTTCCGTACTTGTTTTCCCTGCAATTTTTCTATAATGATAATAGATGCTAGAGCTGTAAAATGTTTGTCCTTTAATTCCACAATTGAAAGCTTTTTTTAGAACTTTAGTCTTTATGGGTTTTATCAATCATAATCTTGTTGCCATTCAAATTGCTTATGCTTCCATTCTTATCATTGTGGATGATTTTCTAGGACCTACCTTTTTTGTGTTTCTTTCTACCATATGGGCAGAAGTCAAGAATCATAGGTGATACACAATTATGTGATAAGTGTTCATTCCTTTTCTTATCTTGACTTGATGCTGCTGTTTATTCCATCTTGTTCAAGAATGAAGAAATTGATTGGTTTTATTGTTTGCCTTGAGAGTTTTGACATTACTACCTCAAATCCTTGTAAGAGCTATTGACATAATAGAAAATCAATAGATTTATTTCTCTATGGAGCATGCTTGAGTGCTTTAAATTAGTAATGCCTAGATCAAAATAATTGTTGTTCAGGGAGGACTATGAACTTTCTTGGAAGTTGAATTGTGTCTATGATTCAGGTAATTGTGTCAGGTTGTCTGTTTCTCTGGCGTGGTTTATTTACATTAGTAACTTTCTAGTTTAACTTTAAAAGGGCTGATTTATGGTTAAAATTGATCTGCAGTATACACCTGCTATCGATATTTGGAGCATTGGCTGCATTTTTGCAGAGGTTTTGACAGGGAAGCCACTATTTCCGGGTAAAAGTGTTGTTCATCAATTAGATTTGATCACTGATCTTCTTGGGACACCTTCACTGGAAACAATCTCCGGAGTATGGCACAATCTCTTTTTCTGTCTCTACATCCACTTGGACTTTTGTTTCTTGTGTAATGCTTGACCATTATTTTGAAAACATGCAGGTCCGAAACGAAAAGGCAAGGAAGTACTTGACAGAAATGCGGAAAAAGCATCCTGTGCCATTTGAACAGAAATTTCCAAATGCAGACCCCTTAGCGCTTCGGTTATTGCAGAGGCTTTTAGCATTTGATCCTAAGGACAGGCCAACTGCGGAAGAGGTCTGTCTTGTTTATTCCTAATGCCATAGCTAAAATACCATATGGATGGATCTAATCTGATGGATAAATGCAACTTACTATGCTTATCATTTGTGTATTCTTTTAGCGTCAGTATACTGAGTTTTTCTTTATTAATATGATAGGCATTGGCTGACCCCTACTTCAAGGGTTTAGCTAAAATTGAGAGAGAACCTTCTTGTCAGCCAATCTCCAAGTTGGAGTTTGAGTTCGAGAGGAGAAGGGTGACAAAAGAGGACATTAGGGAGCTAATATACAGGGAGATACTAGAATACCACCCACAGCTGCTCAAAGATTACATGAATGGAAACGAAAGCACCAATTTTCTGTATCCAAGGTTTTCCAAATGCTTAAAAGTTACATCTATTGTATTATCACTTGTTGATTTACAACCATATTTCATTCAAATCACGTCTCATTGATGCAGTGCCATAGGCCAGTTCAGAAAGCAGTTTGCATATCTTGAGGAAAATGGTGGTAGAAGTGCTCCAGTTATTCCTCTGGAGAGGAAACATGTCTCTCTTCCAAGGTAGATAATTGGTTGATTTTGTTTCATTCCTGCAACATTTCAAATTGTTCTTCTATGTATCAATTTGTTTTAGTTGTTGATCATGCTTTGGACCGTTGCTAGGGAAGATGTGGAGTCATGTTGTATTTATCCTCTTTTTTAAAGTTCATCCTTTGAAGGATGAGATGAATTAAGTGATCATTAAATTTAGCACTTTGTTTTTTTGCCATTACCAGTTTAATTTTCCAACTCACTGCTTGTTTTGCAGGCCTACAGTTCACTCAAATCCGATATCTTCCAATTGTCAGCCAACTTTGGTTTCATATAATAACCGACAAGTTGCAGAAGAGGCTTCTAAAAATAGAGTGAGCGATTCAATTTCTGGGAATCCATCTAAAAGTTCACGACCCCCACCAAGGGTGCCAACAGGTAGAGAGATTTTTCACTCTTTATTTCTCAGCTTTCTCTTCCTCAAGCAGCACTAGTCATGTCTGGTGACTGTTGCCTACATATGTGCTTTATGCTATCTGAAATTGGTTTTTGGCTCTTTAATCATCTTTTTTCCCCCTTTCTTTAATATAACAAGGCCAAGAAAGTGTATTGGCTTTTGTACCATTTGACAAAGGCAGAAACACTAATGATAAACTGTGATCTGATAAATTTTTTCCCGAAAAACTATTTTCCCTCAGACAGCCTTCCAGTTACAAAATTGAATTGCTCGAGTTAGATGTCCAAAATGGTACTCTAACCTCCTTCTCAGGCTTTGAAAGCAGAATCACCTTATGCATTGCCATCATAGCTCATTCTTATTCCACTGTGAACTTTGTTGTAGTCAACAGGAACTGTTTTTGAAAGAAGAATCATGTTTGTACCACCAACATCATAACTCACTTCCAGTATGACTTGTTATGCCCAATTGAAGTAATTGCTATTCGTTCTTTAACCATTTGAAGTGTGTAATTTTTTATGTTTAATTGTATTTTTTTTTTCCTTTTTCTGCAGCAAAGCCGGGGAGAGTAGTTGGATCTGTTGTGCCATTTGACAATAGCAGAAGCATGAAAGAAACCTATGATGCGAGGCCTCCTCACCGAAATACTGCCCTTGCACCACAGACAGTCTCTCCTCACTGTTTCTTCAGGGCCAACACCATGAATCAAGAGAAATCCAGGTCAAATGGTGACATGGATCCTTCACAACGCAAACCAAACCCCCAACAGTGCGACATGCTAGTAAAATCAATGCCGATAATGCCTGTTGACATCAACAGCCATCCATATTATCAACCACAAGCCAAGGCAGATCAAAATAATGACCGGATCCTCATCGATGCCAAACTTATTCAGGCACAATCCCAGTATGGTGCAGCCAGTGCAGCGGCCGTTGCCATAGCTGCACACAGAAACATTGGCACTGTTCAGTATGGAATGTCCTAGCCCAGGTGTGACTATGTAATGGTTCAATAATCTGTACTAGAATTGTAGGGCAGGTGAGGGTAATTGGTATTTCTTGTGTTTAGTCCTCAATTTCTAATCCATGTCGTAATGTAATTATATGTTGTATCATTGAATTTCTTAAGTGAAATAAATTGCTTTTATTGAACTTGAGTCCAACCACTTTTAAATATAAACTCTTTATTAAGTCGACGCAAATCAAGAACAAAATTATACAAGCAAACACGCTTAACCCAAATGGAAAGACAAACGCCCTTGACGCATGCACTGGTGGGGATACTACACTTGATTTTAGCCAAAAGGCCAAGAAAGGTAAGGAAAGAAAAATGAAGACGAGGTGCGACATGTACCAGTGGAGGCATATCACTAACATGGGATGGGAATTATTCATTACAGGCCTAGCCGTTGCATTGATGGGATTCATTTGCAGCACTCCATGACCCCCACGCCATTATAAACACAATAAACAAGATGAAAATCAGAAAATCCAGCGGCCTTGCACTGGACCTTGAACTCTCTTTCTGTTCTCTGCCTTCCACCTTGATGAATAAACATTATGACATCGAGTTGGGAGACATGTTTGGCCAAGTTGCTTGGTTCTGCTCCCTCAGGCATCACATAGTTCACTATAATGAGTTTCCCTTGGCTTGGCAATGCATTGTAGCAATTTTTAAGCACTTTCACACACTGCTTGTCACCCCAATTATGCAGCACATCCTGCGGTTAATTATAGCCAGATTTAATGCACAAACAATCAATCCTAATATACAAATCTAATCATATATATATATATATATATATAGAGAGAGAGAGAGAGAGAGAGAGAGAGAGATTGGGTATTCAATGGGGTTCAGAAATCTGAGTGAAGTTGAAACTCACCTTGACCATGAGAGCATCTGCCTTCGGAATGTTTAAGAACATATCCCTGGCAACATGTTCAACTCCTATTAATGGAAAAAGAAGTGTTGATGAACCACTTACAAGTCGAGAAATCAAGTCAAATTGCTAGAAAAGAAAGTGAACTCGAAATAGAAATTCATTTCATGAATTGAAGATGGCGTTTTACTGGGATAAGACGGTGCGTATGACATGAGGTGGATCATAGTTTATGCCCTTAATTGAAGGATATTTTGAAACGATCGTGTTAATGGTAGCACCACGTCCACCTCCCACATCAACCAATGATGTCAAGGATTTTTTACATGGTAACTTTGGAAAGCTGACTTAATGCCTTGTTGAATCCTTGGTTAAGTTCTCCATCCTGGCTTATGTATTGATAAATAGGCATCCCAAAAGCTCTTTCGAACAGATTACCGCCTTCAAAGAATGAAATCTTTCGACTGCAACCTGTACGTGCAAAATTTTTTAATTAAGATAAAAATGAAGATTGCAAAAAAAAAAAAAATCAAAGTATATATATGTTGATACATATGTACCATGGTTCCTGCAGTGCTTTATGGGGTGGAAATGGTTCCACGACTGCTCCATCTTCGTCATGAAAGAAAGCTTTGCCCGCTGAAGCAAGTCCATAGAGTCTCTCAACCTTACCATCTTCTTCTTCTCCTATGTTGCGGGAAGTTCAAGTGAGCAGAGAATAGCAGGCAAGGAGTCGTCGCAGCAGGCGGCCGAGGAAGAAAGCTGCGTCAGGGTTGTTGTTGGTGGGGAGTTGAGCAGCAATTTGAGATGCAGAGAGCTCTGCTCCAGGCCCTGCTTGCGCTATGATATCGAACAGACCCAGCCTGGTGGAGGCAGTCAAAACATGTATGAAGTTGCCGAAGCTAAATAAACTCCAGGCATACGCCAAAGCATCAGTACCATCTTCAGTCATATGGAGACCGTTGGAAGAGCGTTTTCACCTTTTTATGGTTTGAACTCATCATTAACTTGGAAGGGTTGCTTTTAATATATATATTTTTTTAACAATTTATCAAGGGTGAGCTCGAAACTCGACCGTAAAAAGGAGGAATGTCATTTGACCCTTCAGGTTAGATGCAGTTGTTTTTAATAATTTAATAGAGAGAGATGCTATTGTTATAATTTATAATATTATATAAAATTATAAATTTATAATTATTATATGATATTAAAAATATAATATATTATTAAAAAATAAATATTTATAATATCATAAATAATTTTATGAGTAAAAAATTTAATTGTATAACAATATTATATTATAACTTTATAATATCACATGATATTATAATTATATATTTGAGTTTAATAAACATAAATATAATGATAATATATAGTTATATTTCCATTTAAATTAACTGTCAATTTGACTTAATTTTAAATAATATTTTTATATAATATATAAATAATAAAAAAATTATCAAATAAAAGTATCCAACAAAATATAAAAAAATTAATTGCAAAACATATACTATTATTTAAAAACAACATCCATAAAAATTACAAAAGAAATCAACAAGAAAATTTTGGGAGGAAGGTAGTATTATTGAACCCTGCCTCATATTTCTCTGGTCTCATAATATCTGTTGTATTTCATTACCTATTTTCAAAAAAAATAATATCTGTTGTATTATTGAGTGATATCTTAATAGAATAATGGTAGGGCCAAGTGATTCATAAATTTTGTTTGTTTGATAGCACCAAGCCATAATGGCACTTTCAGTTGTCGAAGACCTTCCCCGGTGGAGGAGACCACCTATGGCCTGAGAAAAGACAAACTAGAGGTCTTATCAAAGGACAAATGCGCCCACTATGGATGGTTATGGCTATTTGGATTTTGGATTACTAAAACTATTAAAATTTTATTTTAATTTGATTATTAAAATAATTAATAAAATAATTAGTATTTATTATTTACTAAATTAAAATTTATTTATGAATAATTATTTTAAAATATCATAATTAAATATTTAAAAAATTATAAATGAATAAAATTATAAGTGAAATTAATAATCTTAATAATAAAAGTGGTGATGGTAGCCTCAACCGCCCACCATCACGGTCGGAAATCAGATAATTACTTAAGGAGCTTTTACTATCACAAAAAATAAAAAATATTAATTAAAACTTTTTAAAATGCTTACCTTTTGAAAAAATTTACGTTTTTTTTTAAAGTAAAAATTGCTTCATAATAGAAAGTGTATGCGTATCCAAACTCATTTAAATCCATTACTAAGAGGTTTTACATAATATAAAAAACAATAAAAAAATATACAAACTCCAACTCTTATATAAATCTCCAAGAGTTTAAATTCTAATAACTAACAAAAAAATCACTTAAGAAGTTGACTTCCTATCATGTCATAATTTTTAGATTTACCTAAAATATTTTTAGATTTGATATTATAGATGATCAATAAACATTACATATCATATAAATTAATCAATCGCAATAAAATATTTATTAAAAACTCAAGATGATAAAAATCCTTATTAAAAATTTAAAGAAAACAAAAAAAAAAAAATTGAAGGCAGAACAATCACACAAATCTCACCATGACAGAGCATACCTAAAAGATTTTAAGAAGCCTACGCCCAAGAAAAAGAAGAAAGATGGGTTAGGAAATTTTTTCTTTGGGGGGGATTTTTTTTTTTATGTAGTTATTATCATCTTTTTGATAATGTTATCATCATCTTAATTAACTTCAAGTAACATACTTGAAAACCTTGTGCAAATTAAAGGAGTTTTAATTTGTATTCAATGTTTTTTCATAAGAAAAAAATGATTTCTTTTTGTTCACACAAAGTAATTAACAAACTAAACCATCTTTATTCAAATCGATAAATTGAGCATGAACCTGGGCCGCAGAAGTCAATCAGGACCCATTGACCCAACTGTTGGGCGATGGGTTCTAGTCCCCTTGCATACATTCCTCTCTCTAAAGGCCCAAACCATCAATCCATGAATACCATTGTCATTGTTCCAAAAAGCAAAAAAGAGCAGTGCTAGGGGCACTCGCCTCCTGCACTCTCCACCCAACACATGCTTTTTTGTACGGCCACGTGAGGTTGCGTTGCTATGAAATGATTTAGTCTCCTGAAACCAGCATAACGTGGCCCAATGAAAATGGAAGTGTTGGTTGGAGAGTGCAAATGGAGAGTGTTCCTAGCATTGCTCAAGCAAAAAATAACAACTTAGCTCTGCGGGCTTTGCAATGTAATACATTCAATAACTATGTTTTGGCACAATTATGTCGAAATCAGAGACGGTCCATTCGGCAACTTGATCATCTGGACTGATATATATTTCCGTCCCCAAGTCAATTGATGGCCATTCCCTCTCCACAGGTCTAGTCCCTGGATCCTGCATTTTGAGAACAAGAACTTAATTGATAGCAATAATACAAATCTCTTATTTACGGTCTAGATTGCAAAATAAACACCATTATAATTAGTAATTTGATCTTAGTTTTTCTACCAATGAAAAATGTTGTGCACAATACTTTTTCTCTTTTAGAATTAAAAACAATTATATTACCTGCTGAGTTAGAAGTGGCAAAGAACAGAAAATACCTGGTAGAAGTAGAGTGACTGAGATAGCCTCCCAACATCAAGCTCCCAAGTTCTTGGATCTCCGATCCAGCCTTCACCCTTCTTTGTTGGATACCCGTATTCACCCCAAACAGGATGTGGCAGAATTTGCAGTATCTCTTGCGGCTGAGGATTGCTGTAAGGATCACATAAATCATATGGTGCCTCAAGATGCTTAGCATTTCCTGGAGAGCAATAAATATGATAAGCACCATAGGGGAAGTTATTCCTGTCCGTCCGGTGAATTTGAGTCCCATTTGGAAGCGTATGGTAAGGCGGGCAGAGCTTGAGATCGTCAGGACGACACCATGCCTCTACCTCGGGGTTTATGATCATCTCGCTGTATCGCGTAACGTCTGTGGTCACGTCCCCGTCACAAGGCTTTCCATCGTTTTTCCAGCAGCTTCCCATGTCTAGGAGGTAGAATTGGCTTTTTGGACCCCCACCTTTTGTTATGTTTAGTGTGAACCTCACTTTGAAATTGGGTGACTTTGGAACCTATGATCATGGCGCATTCCAGATGAGAAATACAAATCTTGTCTTCAGTTAATTAAAGGACTAGAGATCTTGGACTCTTTTGAGGTCCTATTTTATTGTTGAAGGTCTCAAGTTCAAATTATGCAATTTGCAAAATGAATGAGTAAATTAAGAAATTATATATAGATATAGAGTTTGCAAAGGCTTACAATTTTTGACATTCCCCTTGTCTGATAGTGGTATCCACCGGAGAATCCCGTTGTGGCGTCCGACCTTAAGTAAAGCATCAACCATGGATACTTTGATGATGTCTTGAGAAAATGGTGGAAAACCCAACTTCCTTTTCCGAGCTCCTTCTCCCAAGCAACATTAAAGTAGGAAACATCCTTGCCAATCACTCCATTTCTAACATTAGCATTCAAATCCCAGGTCCCATAAAAACTCCCCCTTAGGATGTCCTGATCATGTTCATTCCGGTGCACACGAGTATATTCATGGTATATCAAGGGCATGTTCATGCATCCCTTACCGAAGCATGGAAATCGATTATCTTGCGGGAAAGGCTTTGCTTTCTTGCCATTTTCTGGGCACATAGCAGCTAAAGTATCTGTGTTGCCATTCTTGAGCATTATCATCCAGAATTGCCAAGGACGTGGTGTACCTTCAACTTGGCATTTGTTGCCTAAGTAAATCTCTTTCTCCACAGCATATAAATCAACACTACCGGCCGCCTTGATCCCTCCGTAGGAGGCATTTGATATACCAAGCATGTTATCAATCTCGTCCACCTTGTGCATTAACTTGACTTGATCTTCCCAAAAATTGCATGAAAAATCACAAAAATTTTAGCAACAACAAGACAACACATCATTGTAGATTACCATCACTTAAAATTCAATTTTTCTAGTAATCAAGTCTTACCTGATGAATTAGAATTCTCAATGTCGAAGCAATCTGCCATTCTTGGACTTCCCATGTACGGTGCTTCTTCACCAACCTCATTGCATTGATTCCACGACTCAATTGCCACCCTAAGACCATCTCTTCTCATCCCAGGATCACCAACGGCCGATATATACTCTTCGCTAGCCCCAACATAAAAACTCCAAGAAGAAAAGAGCACTATCAAAAGAATGCAACTGCACCTACATAACTCCATCGTAGGAAGGTTGCCTCTCACATTCTTCTATGACGCTGTATGCATCGTTATATATAATCTTTCTCAGACTAATTAAGCCTGGATATTTAGTTGTGCAGCTGTTTGAGATTATATTCACAGCCTGTTTTGGTTAGTTGTCTGGTTGAGAAAATCTTAATTAGGACAAGTTTATTCTCGGTTTTTCTTTTTCTTTGTTATCTTATTTATAGTTACTCTATTCTTATCTAATCTAAATCTTATTTTGTTCTAGAGAGCAAAACAGAATAAAAAAGCTATTAATCATAACATTAGCCTGCCTTCAATATTAGCTTTTTTTAATATTTTGATGCTTTATTTTGCTATTTAATTCTAGGAGAATCAATCAAATACTCAACAAAATATGATTGGATCTTACAGAATTATATAGTGGGTATTACATTAGATTACCATATATCAAATGTTTTGGGAGACTTGGTTTGCTGTTGCTCGAATAAACCCAATACATAAATTTGAAACACCACATTAAACCCAAAAAATTAGCTTCTTGAGTTTCACAAAACTAACTTATACTAGATCTATGAATCTCTACAGATGTATTCCACTTATTCTCATCATATATAAATATATATATATATATATATTTTATGTGGGATTCCTTCACAGCTCCCAAATGAACCTCTTTTCTCAACAAAATTCAACCTAAGTGTAGCATACAATGATATAAGCTGAATCTGATGCAAATGAAATTTGAAGCATTTCATGAAAACTAAGTTAAGCATCCCCTCCCAAAGCCCTGTTTTAATAGATCTTCTCTGTTTACCTCACAAGGTTAGTGGACTTATTTATGAAATTGTGAGGACATACAACTGAGTCACAGGATGATTGGTTGAAAGTTTGGAATCATGTCTGATTCGTGAAAGTCCTTCAATTGGGTATTTATTAGGGATTATGTTGTTATTTTAATCTTACATTTTCTTCAATACTCTGTTTTTTAGTACCTTCAGGGATGCAGGGGGCTCTGTACTGGAAACTTAATGACTAGTAAAATAGAAATCTTCTTTGCTTCCAAGTAGTAAATATTTGTCTACAAAAATAAAGTAGGAGTAGTTTTTCTAACTATTGAAGTAGTCTATCATCCTTCAACTATAGAAAGGACTCACATTTGTTTCCTTTTTATTTCTACGTATATAAATCATCTCCCAACTACGGCATGGAACATATATGAGTACAACATTCATCTGGTGCAAGTTTTAATTAGCATGTTACAGTCTGAGGGTATCAAGGTAAGATTTTTCATTGAGCTTACTAGCAAACATTCCTTTGAAGAATTCTTCAGTTGACACTCTCTTGAACAACGGTGGTTTCTGCTGAGAGACCAAGCTTCTTGCTGGCCCTATTTCCCCATCGTATTTTGCATTGTTGAATGTTGCAATGGAGAATCTTTCTACTTCAGAGTTAACTGTTGCACGATGCTCAATACTTCGGTAAGCTCCATTTGTTATGATCTATCAAAAAACAAAACATGACTTAACAAATGTGCTATCTCGAAATAGTCCTATTGTTACATTAATTTTGATCTAGTAAGTTTGGACTGAATTTTTCGTTGTCATTACCTCTAAAATATCTCCAACGTTGATTATGAAGGCATTGGGGAGGGGCTTAACAGGAATCCATTTGCCATCTTTCTTTATTTGGAGGCCTTCTACTTCATTTACTTGAAGCAGAATGGTAAGACCTGTAGAATCAGAATGAGGAGTGAGACCAATAACCTTATCTGGTTGAGGACAGGGAGGATAATAATTTATCCTCATTGCTTGGAAACTCTCTCCAAAAAACTCCTCCATTTCACCGGTTTCCATGTCAAGAGCTTTTTCCAACTTCTTGAAGATGGCCATTGCTAGATTTTTCAACTCCAATGAGTAAAGTTCCAATGATTCCCTACATGAGAACGAATGATCCAATTTAAAAAGAAAAAAGAATGGCGCTTTTCAGTTTGAATTACATAAAAATATATATAAAATTTAAATTATAAAAGTATCAAAATAATTTAAATAAATCTTATTCAATAAATTTATTTAAATATTTTTATAATACGGTTGCATGTAGTTTGCACTAAAAAATGCCATTAAAAAGAGAGAGAGAGAGAGAGAGAGAGAGAGAGAGGAAATCAACTGAGTTATGGACCTGAATGGAGGAGGGAGCTTAGGGAAAAGATGGGGCTTTCTAAAACGTTCTGGCTGGGTGAATATGGTAAATAGATCAGCCCAATCAAGCTTTTGCTCCTCCGAAAAAACAAAGGCCTGTCCAAACCCTTCCAACTCTCCGGGGTACTGCCAATATTTTTTCTTTTCTTCCATTGGGAGGTTGAAGAAATCTTGAACCTCTCTTTTTATTTTCTCCAGCAAAGACGAGCTCACTCCGTGGTTTACAAGCTGCAATTTATAATTTAGTGATGGAAATTGATAGTTCACAATTTCAAGCCACGAATGTGAAAATAACCTATTGAATTAATTTAAAAATAAATCATGAGAGGCACATCATCACCTTTGACAATTAATAAAATAAATAAATAATTAGAGGTTAATGACTCATGATAAGTACTAGAACAATTAAAATACCAAAGATGATGAAATTAACTTTCAAGAAATAGCCTGATAATAAATAAAAAAATAAAAACCTTGTCAAAACATAGAACTTTATATTTTTTTTAACAACAAATGTATACAAATCTTTAACTAATTAATTTTACAGGTACTTATAAACTATCCTTTCTACAAGTCATAGAAAAGTCTCCACTCAAGTGTTGCGAGCGTGGCTCTCCATCTATGAATTCCATAATTCATGGGTCCATCATCCATGTCTTGTAATTGAAATGAAATAGTAGTGACATATTACGTGAGAGCAGATCAAGCTCTCCATTGACCATGTGAACTTGGATTGCTAATCCTATCTACATACAAACTCTAATGACAGATGATGAAAAAAATGTAAAGAGAAAAAACTAGGAAAAGATTAATTGAGCTCAGCTTATGTCCATTTCTTTCATCTCCCATGTTCATATGTTTATCTCAATTTATTGAGTTTCATCACTTTCATGTATGTATGACGTTTATGTATGTTAATGTTCTCAACTCCTACATATATGGTATGATCATATTGAGATATGTACCTGGAAGAATCCCCACTCTCTACAGGCAGAGTGAAGTTTGGCTAACTCAGTCTCAGCTTCCATCAATCCATCAGAAAGCAAGCTCTGCATATTAATCTCGGGAATTTCTGGTACCGAGCCGGTGTCGTAAACAACCGCTTGTTCTTGGTCAGTTCGGATGTATCTTGGCGGGATTGCTGTTAAGGACTCTTTGGCCAACTCTTGAACACAAGGCACCAGCAAGGAATTTCCTAGATTCATTGCCTTTGCTTCTATGCTTTTTTTCCAAAAAATAGATGCGGACGCAATACTTATCCGTCTCTTCAGTATTTTAAGCGAGGCTGCTGAGCTGACAGAGGTTTTCATCTACGAGGAATGCTAGCTGCACTCGCCTTTCTCCAGCACTCTCCAACACTCTCTCATGCAAAATGTCCACGTAACAAAATTTGGCTCGCAAGTCAAAGTTTCCAACTAGAAAAGTTCACGTGGCTATTTTAGATGAGGGAGTGTCGGAGAGTGCTGGAGAAAGGCGAGTGCAGCTAGCATTCCTCTTTCATCTATTTCATTACTTTATTATAGCATAAATGGGTGGTAATGCACCGAGAATGATGGGTTCATAGGCCGATTCGTCCCTATAGTTTTTTATTTCTTCTCTTAAATCTAATACTTTTCAATTTTAATTTTTAAGTCCTATAATTCTTAATTTTTAAATCACTAAACTTTAAATTCTAAATATTAAGTCTTAAATCCTACTAAGATAAACCTTAAACCTTGAAAATCTAAATCCTCAAACTGTACATATAAATTTATGACAAATTTAAACCTTAATAAACTAAATTTTAAATCTTAAAAATTCTAAACCCTATCACTATAAATACTAAACTTGCTTCCTTTACAAAATTATGACATTCTGTGGAAGGACATACTGACAAGGTCGGGAGTGTGTGATTAGATTCTTTTGAGACAAAACAAATTCCAATTTGTGACTTGTCAAATCATGTACCTCCTGTTCTTGCATATTTGTGGGTAGTAATGAAGAAGGACATTAGGTCAAGATAAGTTTTTTTTATTTTTTAATAAGGATAATGATTAAAAAGTTAGTATAAATTAGTTGTTAGTAACTGGAGATTCGATACTCAAACTAGGTGAACATTTCACCCTCTCAAATGAGATGCGCGGCCGTCAAGTCACTTTTTGGTTAAATTCACGACGATAATAAAGTTCAAAACTCCGACCACATCACCCAAACACTTAAAGTTTGAGATCAAACCATTAGACCTAAACATCTAGTTCAATCACGATAAGTGGATGTAGAGCTATATTATGTAGCGGACTATTACATTACTTTACCATATATTAATATCAACAAAAGAGTAAAGTATACAATGATATAAGCCGAAATCTGATACAAATGAAATGCGAAGCATTTCATGAAACTAAATTAAGCATACTCTGCCAAAGCCCTGTTTTAATAGACTGTCTCTGTTTTGTTTTGTTTGGTTGCTCTTTTTTTTTTTTTTTTTTTTTTTTGGAGGACATACAACGGACTGAGCCACTAGATATATAATTGGTTGGATGTTTGGAATGTTGAACCATGTTTTATTCGTGAAAGTCCTCCAAACGGGTATTTATTTGGGATTTTGTTGTTATTATAATTGAACTTTTTTCTTTAATACTCTGTATTTTACTATCTTCAGGGGATGCAGGGGCTTTGTACTGGAAATTCAACTCTTAATAAAAATAGAAATCTTCTTTATTTCCTAGTAATAAACATTAGTTAGCAAAAAATAAAGAAGAGAGACATTAAGGACAAAATACAAAGTATCATCCTTCAAATACAAACGTGACTCATGTTTGTTTTATTTATTTAAAGTAACCCATCCCCCACCCAACTACGGCATGAAACATGTATGTGAGAGGGCGACATTCATCTGGTGTGTGTAACACCCCATGTATCTTAATGAATAATTTAAAAATTAGTGTCCTTTAGTTTATAGTTTTAAGGATTAAATTAATTGAATTTAAAGTTTGAGGGTTTTAAGTGAAACTTAGTAGAAATTGAATGGTCTTAACTCAATTATCCCAA